CGTTCTCGGCGGCGTCGGTGGATCCCGCAGCGGTGGAGCTGCAGGAAGGCCAAATTCAACAACTGCATCGCGGCAAAACGCTCCACACCTTTGCCGACGGCGACCATCGCGGAGAGCACATCCACGGCCTCCTGCAAAATCCTCGGATGGCCCTCCAGTAGATGCGTGAGGTCCTCCAAATGTCGCCTTAGGCCGACGGAATACGAAAAAGCCGAGGATGAATTTAAAAGATCCTCGCGGAGCGGGGCCTCGGAGGTTGGATGACCAATCGGGAGGGAAAGCAGACGGGCCAGGAGGTTCGCGAGGGCACCGTAGAAGAACGGATGCGGGCGGCGGAGAAGCTGGAAAAGCCCCTCAATCATCCCCCCCGCTCGTGCACGAACTAAAAGGCTGTAGTATTCATCCGCGCCATCGGAGTAGAGCGAGATCATCATATCCACACAAAGTGAAAGCGTCTCCAGTAAATATAAGGCAAGCTCATCGTTGAGAATCGCGGAATGACCGGGTAGCCGCTCGCTTCGTAGGCAGCCAATCAGCATATCGAGAATACTTTGCAGTAAATCCCCCTCCTGAAGGATGGCCGCGATTGAAATGTGCGTAATTAGCAGTCGTTTTAACGTTTCACAGCCTTCAATACTCACGAGGATGTTGTGATGGGTGATTTTAGCTTTGAGCTCGGCGAAAAAGGCTAACCATTTTGATCGGGTAAATGAAGGTAACGGGAGAGGCATCGTTATTGTAGGATTATTCTGTCTAAATCGTGTTAAAAGCCACGACGACTTCCTTTTCCCTTTCTTTCTCTATGGAAATATTTATATAGATGTATAAAGAAATGCAATTTTGAGCAATTGGTTATTCGAGGAAAAAAGTATTCAATGAATACAGCAGTGTAATGTACTTATTCTACTAGTAAAGCCTGCGTCTATATTTTGGATAACTATTTAATAAAGAAAAATAAAAGAAAATAGATACCTTATTGGCTTATCTTTTACGTTTTGGAGGGGTGACTCTTTTTCACCCTCCAAGAGTGAAGCTAAAGTTAACCTTATCCTATTTGGAAAAGAACAATAAAAAGAAAAGGAAATTGTCAATTACAACAGATTTCAGCCCCACACAAAAGGGGAAAACTAATAATAAATTCAGATCCCGGTGGTATGAATTTTTTAAAGTTCTGTATTCCTCTTATCGAGCTGTGTAGACTCAATCTCAACACATTACGATAACTTTGTCTTTTTTGGAACAAATTAAAGGAAAAGGGGAAACTCAGAGGATAGTTTCGTGCTTATTAGTTTTTTTCTACAAAGTCTTCACTGGACGCTTAGAGCCTTTAGATATCTCCTTTACCATTTCCACCGCATCCGCACCGCTTTTGTAGTAACCATACAGAAATCGCCGCTCAACAAATCCAACCTTCCTGTAGAATTTCCGCATTCCCTCAACTGCGCCTTCTACACTCTGTTCGTATAGTAAATGTTCATGCACCTCTTTATCATCTTTCGTCAGCTTTGATTCGCGCATTCTGTCCTTTTGAAAGTTTTTGGATTTCTCCAGTGTTTGAACGTTTGACGAAGGAGTCTCAAAAGACTCCTCTGAGAGTCTGCTTGATTCCAAAGCGATAACTCCATGCGGCTTACACGACTGGAGGGGTTGAGTGGAGGGGTGGTTAAAAAAACGATTTGTCATATTTCGGCCGCCCTCCTTTCCGTTCGAAAAGATTGTATGCAGCCGCCATCGCAAGATCGGGCGCGTTTGTTGTAAACCTTCGACGCCTCCGTTTATGCAGTCTCGTTTTCGTTTAAGGCAGCCGACAGCGGCGGTTCCCCGCATCGCAAGACACTCCGCGAACAGACGAGCCGCGACCCCTCGCCGACGATACGCAGCCTTGACAAGGACCACCTGCAAATACCCCTCCACCCCGTCCGACGCGGTCAACCCCACCCACACCACCCCCACCACCCCAATTAGACGGTATGGGGTAAACTGGGCCTCTGTAACAGCCTCAGCCTCGCCATGGGAACTCCCTTGGGTCTTCAACCGGGCCTCTGTAACAG